ACAACTTGTTTGAAAAAAAAAAATATCTTCTCTAAGAAACCAGCACTTTTCAATAACAATGACACAAGCTTAAGATGGGTAATGCATTCGAGCATTTAGTTTATTGGTTGGTGTATTATCTTCTTACTTAAAGAGTATGGTTCGAATCTCCCCTCCTCCAATAATAATAAAAAAAATGCTTAAGATAGGTAATTTTTGGATTGAAATGTTATCATTCGAATTACCTTCAGAAATTAACGTACGTGAACAATTAGAACGCAGCTGTTCTAGCAACAAAAGGGAATCAAATTCCATGAGGAACAATTTGACGAAATCAGGGATATACGTTTTGTATAAAGAGACTTCTGTTCTTGTTGGTAAGTGTCAAAACTTTGCAACAATGTCAAAGAGACGCAATCAATCTTGAAATGTTGTCATTCGAATTACCTTCAGAAATTAACATACGTTAACAATTAGAACGCAGCTGTTCTAACAACAAAAGAGAATCAAATTACATGAGGAACGATTTGATGAAATCAAGAATATACGTTTTGTATAAAGAGACTTTTGTTCTTGTTGGTAAGTGTCAAATCTTTACAACAATGGCAAAGAGACGCAATCAATCGCACCAAGACAGTTTTATGCGTGTAAGTCAAAGAGGGAAATGTAAGCAGAGTGCTTCTGTAACGGATTTGTAAGCTAAGATTGAAAATTTTGGATTTCTTTCGCATATTTGAACGAAGAAATCTATGGCGGTCTCATATAAGGAAGCTCTTACGCTTTGCATGTTGACATTTCTTCTTTACTATAATATTTTGGCTGCTATGAATGGCGCCCTTTGTTTCTTTTCTTTAATCAAAAAGTTCACTGGTCCTGTCGATGCTAACTTTAAAAGTGTGCATAATGTACTTTTAAGAATAATTATGTCAATTTTGAAAAAGGAATCGACGCTTGTTATTAATTTAATTTTTTAAATCAATTTATGTACGAATTATATATATATAAGAACGAATTAATTTCAAATTAAATTTGTCTACAATTGACCAGAAAAAGGAAAACAATTTTAAATTAAAAAACAATTCAACCGCAGACTCTAATAAGCAAACTATGCAAGGGTTGGGAAACTGATGAAGTGATAGAGAAATGGATGAAATATTTCGCCTAATTTTGCGATGTAAATTTTCTTTGGGAGGGCCTAACTTCGTTCACTTCATTATTTTATGCATGCCGTTGAATTGGACCATCCCACTAATGCCAGTATCGACGAAAACGAACCGACATGCCACTCGTTTACCTTTTCCACATGTCAAGCATCCAAAAATTCTTGTCTATAAATACCTTTCGATCGCTCAATTCTTGCTCCACAACCAAAAATTATCGATCCCAACAAAGAAAACCATGAAACTTCTCAAGGTTTTCTTGATGTTGGCCTTGCTCATGGCCCTGGCCATCACTCTCTCCGCCGCAGCACCATCTGAAGAAGAACCATTCGTTGACAATGACGATGACGCAAGCGAAGTTGCTGATGATCTTCTCCCGTCGGCAGACGGCCAAGAACAACCAACTTCTCTCCGAGGAACAAGCCGGTTTCTTGCTCAGAAACCTCGGGCCGTGATGACATGTAACAAGTACCCCAGAGTCTGCCGTGCCGCGGGCAGTCCGGGGCCTGATTGCTGCAAGAAGAAATGCGTGAACGTGAAGACAGACAGGCTTAACTGCGGGATGTGTGGTAAGAAGTGTAAGTACTCAGAGATTTGCTGCAAAGGGAAGTGTGTAAACCCAATGTCCCACAAAAGACACTGCGGGGGTTGCAACAATCAGTGCAGCAAAGGAAGCAAATGTTTGTATGGGATGTGCAGCTACGCATAGAAACCAACTTCAGCAGACCTTCTTCAAGAATTTTTGATCAAATGATCAAGCTAGCATATATGTTTATGCTACAGTCAATTGAATTATAGATAAGGGTGAGCCACCACAATTTGGTGGATTAATTTCGCCAAATATATGTTGATTTTTTACTTTAATTATTGTTTCAATGATTTCATGTCTATGGATGTTCCTTATACAATTTTTAAATTTAAGTAATATACTTATTTAGTTCTTTTTAAAATTAAACAAAGAGTTTTAATCTAAATAATATAACCATTTTTTGGTATAATTAAGGGAATGTTCATTCAATTTTGAGATATATATATAGGATGATGTCTCTCTCCCTCTCTAATATATATATTAACATATAAAGTAAAAGAATCCGTAAAGTAGACCTGAAACAATTTTAAATAGTTTTGAACTATTATATTGAGAATTTTAAGTAAACAATGAAACTAAAATGATGTTCTTAAAATACGACAGCCCTCGATAAAATGGAAATAAATTACAACATGCAATGTCATTAACGAAGATGATAAGTGTAATAGGAGTAATTAAAGTCCCATTTCAGATGAAGTATACAGCACTCGGATATTCTTGGAAGTTTTAACAATTTCTGGCATCGCAGAAAGTTATTCATTGTAGGTTGTTCAACCAGCTCAATGACTATATCCTTTAAGGAACCAGTACTTTCCAAAATCAATTTCACAAGATCTAGAACAAGATCTTCTTCTAGAATGAAATTCGTCATTTGAATTACCTTCAGGTTTGCTTGCGAACAACAAGAACGCAGCTCTTCTAGCATCAATGGCACATTGCCGTAAGGTCGAATAAACTCTATGTGAAGAGATTCAAGGTTAAGTGCCTTTTGAAGTATGTAACACATGGCTCTAACGTGAAAAGATTGAACATAAAGTTTGATGTGCTTAAGATTATTGAACTCGGGCAGATCATCATGGGCTAAATACTGCACAAGGGAAAGAAAAATAAGACAATTCTTTATAATCAATGCAATGGAGAAACAAAACATGATAAGAGTGGTAAACCTACCTCCATGATCGACAATGATAGGTTTAAATCTTTTGCATTGGACACCACATCAATCATATTCTTCAGAAAGAAGTGAGTACTATCTTCCCCACGGAAGGTGTAAGGGCAGTTCATCTGAGCATAGTTAAGATTGGGCAAAGCTTTCTTTTGTTCAAAACAATCTGGCATCGAATCACGTGACATAAGGTCGAACATAAAGTAGGTTAAGATTAAAGATTCAAGATTTTTGGATTGCAGCAGTTGATAGGTGAAGTTGTTGGCCAAGATAAAACCACATAGCTGCATGGTCTTCAAGTTAGGGAAGTAGAAGGATTTGGGAAATTTGTGTGCTGAAAGTGCTCCAAAATCCAACTTCAATGTCACCAAGGTATTGCATACAGTTAAGATGCTCACCGGTGCATCGGAAAATATTGCAAAGTCGAGATTGAGCTCTTCAAGACCTTCCTTCATGATAGCTTGAAACCATCTATTAAACTCAAGAGCCTCAAGTCTTTCTGGGGCTGAAATTTGAAGCTTCTTAACTCTTGCTTGGGGGTGAAGCAAGATCTTGTCGAAGAAGTTCTTATACTTTGAAACTTTTACTGTTCGGTCACGGATCGATAAATTTTTAAATTCAACTATTCTACCATTTAATCCGTCATGGCTCAAGGAAATGTAGGGTTGTGAAACCCATAAACCTTTCCACCTCTTTGATAGAACACCAGTTCGAATTGCATACTTCGTTGGAAGAAATGTGAGGATGTGTTCAAGAAGTGGATCAGGCAGGTTGCTTATTCTATCACATTCCCTTTCCATCTGATCTGACATAAAAAAAAAAGAAAAAAGAATAAGACACGATAAAATTATTTTGGCTTGAATGTTAATTCCTTTTGCCACAATGTACTTAATAATTAAGAGATACTTGGATTGTCACATTTCAAACCATTTATTTCTCTCCACAAGTGCATGGATTTTGCATTAATTACAACTATCTTATACAAAAAAATAAAATTTAAAAGACATTCACGTAAAATAGTCCAGAAAATGACCTAATGATTATAATTAATTTAACTATTTCTTTTATCATTTTGTTTGGGTTAATTTCTACTAATTGATCATAGGAAGTGACTCCAAAAATACGATTCTATGGACCACCAACAAACATCGTAAAATCAAAGGCACTTACTATGAACACATATTCAAAGAATCAAATTAAAAGAAAAAGGGTTTCACATAAGAAAGGTTATAGAGATTTTGCAAAAATTCTTAACTTGTGTTTATTCATGTGACTCTTTACTAATCTATTAGCCTTGTATGAACCAAAAATTATATATCTACTTTTCATAAAAAAAAAAAAACAGATATCAGATTTCATATTAAAATTTTAGAATAAGATCTAGTTCAAAGAAGGTGGTCAATAAAATGAATTTCGATAAAAAAATAGAATAAGATATAATTAGATTTATATACTGAAAAAGAGTTTTCACATGAGTGTAAAAATAAAATTTTTCTTCATAAAAAATTAAGGACTAAATCTCCATATATACAGCCCTTTTGGGATACGATCGAGTGTTTGTATAGGTTTCTGAATGGAAAACACTATGAATATATTTCTATTGTTTTTTTTTTTCTCAGTCAGAAAAGAGATATATTACAAATCATTGACAGTACAAGTGAGCAAAAAAGCCGCCAATAGCAACAGCATAAAACTCTGAACACAAAGCGAGAACAGCAAACAAAATGCTTGGAAGACATAAACAAGAAATGGATTCAGCTAATGGCTGAAAAAGCAGGATCTGCCAGAAGGAAACAGGAGTAGTAGGACCAAAAACAAGAAATGGCTGAAAAGCATAGCACAAATATCTCTACTGTGTAATGTATATAACCTGATCAATGATTAAATGATTAAAAAATGATTTAACAAAAACGAATAAAAAGAAATCAAAACTTTTGGGAATCCATTCATCGAAATAAAACAGAAGGGACATATATATATTACCCAAATCGAATTACCTTGGAAAAAAAAAAAACTGAGGTTCGTGGTTTTGATTTTGGATGACAGTGTCGGCCTCTCAAAGTAGTCTTACTCTGGATCATTAGCAAAGAGAAACACTGGGTTAAGTTCTGATTTGTGTTCTAGATAAAAGGATTAGACCAAGATCTTACCGTGTAAGATTGCTCAACGACGTTCTTGTTGTTGTTTGATCTGTCTTTGGCAAACCCTGTAAGCAATGAACGTTACTTGGCTGGACCAAGTATTTGGTATTTTGAAGAAACAAAAGTTTAGTATATTTATAGATGAAAATGATTTAAAGAGTTGTGTCTGTTTATTAAGAGGAAAAAGTTATTTTTATGTTTATTTATCAAGAAAACCTTACATGCATTTATGTTTTTTTCTTCATGTTTATTCATGATTAGATATTGTTATGTTACGAAAAGATATCTATTTTTTCAATAAAAACAAAAACAATATGACATGAACTTAAAATAATTACTTAAATTTAAATCTCGGCGGTGTGAATTTAAGATATTTATTTAAATCTCTGCCCCACTCTTACGAACTAAAAATAAATAATAATTGTTTCATTATAAAATTTAAATACATAAAATTTAACCTAACAATCTTCATTAATTTTACTTAAAGAATAAGTCGTTCAGGAAAGTAATTTATAAATCTCAAAATCAACTTGATTTATTTTCTCTTTATATGTCTATTATTCGAAATTTTAAGACGGATCGAGTTTGATTTATGAATAAAAAATTATGTTAAAAAGATGTTAATTTAATTGTACAAATTTTTATGTGCCTAAGAGTCGAAGATAGATTGGAATGTAAGTAGAGTGGTTCTGTAACGGATTTGTAAGCTGAGATATAAGTTTTGGATATCTTGACATACTTGGACAAGAATTTATGGAAGTCTCTTGTCAGAGAATGGTCATGCAGTGCATGTTAACCTGTCTTATTAATTTGATGCCAATTATTTCTTACTATATTTGGCTGCCATTAATGGCCCTTTATGTTCACTGTTTAAGCATGCAAAACTGTCATTTTTAATGCGAATTAATATATGACATTATTTTTTTCTGGATATGCCACTAATTATAGCATGTTCTTTATCATTCTTCAATTAATGTTGGATTTACACATTTTCATTATTTATTTATTTTAAATGTCACAAACTGTAAAAGAAATTTAGTCGATGAAAAGGAGAGGAGAGACTTAGATTACTCAAATTATAACATGCAATGCATTAACAATAGTAACTGATTTCTTAAAGAGGAAGTATGGCTACCATTGTCCCATTGGCCATTTCACATCAAGCATAAAGCTCTTGGAAAGGATCTTGGCCGAGTTCTAATAATTTCTGGCATTGCAGCAGGGGGATTCTTCGTAGCTATTTCTTCATCTAGCTCAATGATTATCTTTGTCTAAGACTTAGTACTTTCAGATAAATGTTTTTAGTAACAGGTAAAGAATTTGAACTGTGAGACTTTTTACAGGCATTTTAATTAATATAATACAACTTGTTTGATGTGTGTGTTTTTCTGGCCTGATGGGAGAAGTAATAGATTGGTTTGATGGTGTAAATCTACGTGTTTTAATTTTTTTGGGTTGCTTTTGTTGAGCCTGGAAAGGGGCTCACGAGAATACTTACAGAGTGTGGGGATATTTATTTTGTGGATGTATTCCAAGGTGGTCTTTACTTAATTTCATGAAAAAAGCATTCGAATATTTAATTTATTAATTAATACATGATTCTTTACTTAAAAAGTAAGATTTAAATCCTTTTCTTTCAAATTAAAAAATAAATTCCATAATATATGTTTTGCATAAAAGACTTATGTTCTTGTTTGTAAATGTCTAAACTTGGTAGCAATGTCAAAGAGATGCAATCAACCGTACAAAGTTAGTTCTAATCGTACAAGTCAAAGATTGAAATGTAAGCAGAGTGCTTCTGTAACAGATTTGTGAGCTAAGATTGAAAATTTTGGATTTCTTACACATATTTGACCAAAGAAATCCATGGCGGTCTCACGTAAGGAAGCTCTTACGCTTTGCATGTTGACCTTTCTTCTTTACTATAATATTTTGGCTGCTATTAAGGTGCCCTTTGTATCTTTTCTTTAATCAAAAAGTCCACTGTCCCTGTCAATGCTAACTGTTTAAGCATGCATAATATCTTATTTAAGAATAATTACGTTAATTTGGAAAAAAGAATCGACACTTGTTATTCATTTAATTTTCTAAATCAATTGACGCATGAATTATATATACAAGAACGAATTAATCTCAAATTAAATTTGTCAGCAATTGAACAGAAAAAGAAAAGGAGAAACTGATGGAGAAATGGATGAAATATTTCGCCTAATTTTGCGGTATAAATTTTCTTTGGGAGGGCCTAACTTCGTTTACTTCATTATTTTATGCATGCCGTTGAATTGGACCATCCCACTAATGCCAGTATCGACGAAAACGAACCCATGCAACTCGTTTCCTTTTTCTACATGTCAAGCATCCAAAAATTCTTGTCTATAAATACCTTTACATCGCTCAATTCTTGCTCCACAACCAAAAATTATCGATCCCAATCAAAGAAAACCATGAAACTTGTCAAGGTTTTCTTGATGTTGGCCTTGCTCATGGCCTCGGCCATCACTCTCTCCGCTGCAGCACCATCTGAAGAAGAACCATTCATTGACAATGACGATGATGCAAGCGAAGTTGCTGATGATCTTCTCCCGTCGGCAGACGGCCAAGAACTACCAACTTCTCTCCGAGGAACAAGCCGGTTTCTTGCTCAGAAACCTCGGGCCGTGATGACATGTAACAAGTACCCCAGAGTCTGCCGTGCCGCGGGCAGTCCGGGGCCTGATTGCTGCAAGAAGAAATGTGTGAACGTGAAGACAGACAGGCTCAACTGCGGGATGTGTGGTAAGAAGTGTAAGTACTCAGAGATTTGCTGCAAAGGGAAGTGTGTGAACCCAATGTCCCACAAAAGACACTGCGGGGGTTGCAACAATCAGTGCAGCAAAGGAAGCAAATGTTTGTATGGGATGTGCAGCTATGCATAGAAACTTCGACAGACCCTCTTCTAGAATTTTGATCAAATGATCAAGCTGGCATAGATGTTTATCGTAGTCAATTGAATTATAAATAAGGGCGAGCCATCACAATTCGATGGATTAATTTCTCCTGATGTAGATTTAATTTTACTTTAATTATTGTTTCAATGATTTCATGTATACAATGTTCAAGGTACAGTAAATATGGAATATGGATGTAATTCCTTGTGCAATTTTTAAATTTAAGAAGTATAATTATTTCTTGTTATATGTGTCTAATACATGCATATAGATTCATCGACCGACAAGAATGATCAAATATATATAAGATACATGAATATTTTTAGTCTATACTAAAAACTTTAATTCAATGGAAAAAAAAAAAGAACTTTTAATCATGTACCCATAAAACTATTAAATGAAACTCTAAGCAACTAAACAAAGAGTCTTGATCTAAATAATATAACTATATTTTTTTGGTATAAGGGAATGTTCATTCAATTTTGAGTTATATATATGGTATGAGTATGGGGTGTCTCTAACATTGAGCAAAGATGATCTGTAACTGGTATTATCTTTTCCGTACCCCGAGGTTGCTCTGATACTACTTAAGCTCTTTACGTGTTACTGCGTTGATGCTGAAGATCTATCCCTACTGTTCCTTCCTTTTCTTGGCTCAAGCAACTTCATGGTCATTGTTTTATTTTCTCTTTCATGCGGGTTTTTTCATATGGGCTTCGAGCCCTCATCACTCCATTGTAAGGGTTTAGTGTTTCGAGGTGTGATTCACGTTGTACGGTCATACCCTGTTTTCATCCTAGGTGTTTCATGTTGTTAGGACAGGGTTTACAATAAATTGAAATTTCTTCCAAAAATTTCAGACGTGAAGGAATTTGTGGAAAACTAGCTTCTCTGCTGGACCTATGTAACAGCTAGGAGGCCTGAAACAAATGAAAAGTCATGAATATGCTTACCACTTAAAGGGTAATGACAATGATCTGTTATATGCAATTTGATTATATATATTTCCCTCCTGTCTGGCTTGATTTTCATTTTACAACAGAGAATTTACAAATATTTTGATTGAACAAAGAGCTAATTCAATTGCCCGACCACAGAAAAAAGGGTAACAAACTGTGTGAGAAGTGTAAATTACTCCCAAATCGATAGCAAAGAGGAGATTTGCCTACCTAGCCACTCATCCCACATTTCAACTGATTAATGTTGAATTGGTAACTATTAATTCAAGAGGCCTAATTTCAGTTACTTCGATTTTCTTTGCCTGTTGAATTAGACTAACCCGCACATGAATTCATATACCAATTACCATGCATGCAATTTCTTTTTCGATACTTCTATATAAATACCCCTTGAGGCCTACATTCTTCTCCATCCCAAAAGCATTCATATTCGTATTCACTGCTTCTTTTTCCTAAACAATGAAATCCCTCAAGCTTTTCTTTATGTTGGCTATGGTGATGGCCTTGGGCGCCATTACTCTCTCCGCCTGTACACCACCATCAAAAGAAGAACCATTCCTCCACAATGGTGATGATAAGAATGCAACTGAAACTTCGGACAGAGAGCCAACCTCCATCCGAGGAGCAGGTCGATTCCTTGCCCAGAGTTCTTCTCGTGCTATATTGACATGCGACAAAAACCCCAAGGTCTGTCTCACCGAGGGCAGCCAGGGTCCATCTTGCTGCAGAAAAAAATGTGTGGACCTGAAGACAGACAAATTCAACTGTGGGAAGTGCGGGAAGAAGTGTAACTATTCCAAGATTTGCTGCAAAGGGAAGTGTGTGAACCCACTGTCCAACCAGAAGCACTGTGGCGGATGCAACAACAGTTGTGGTAATGGAAACGCTTGTCTCTACGGGATGTGCAGCTATGCATGAAAATTGGCTGCAGACCTCAAGCCTTCTAAGATAAATTAGCTGAGAATCACTAATAAATAAAGGAAGAAGCACCATTGGCATGATGGCAGATGTTTACGTTATGTTTTTTATTTGCTCACCATATGTAGTGTTTTACTATGTTTAATGAAATTAAGGATGTACTAGTACTTTTTTAAATAAAAGCTATATATTTTTAATTAAGAAATAAATCTTTATGTGTTTAATTTTTTTTAATTAATTACTAACTATACATAGAGTTAATGTTTGTTAAATTGAATTTCGTACAAGAAAGTTTATATGTAGTCAAAGTTAGCTTGTGGAGTGTTAACATAATTAATTTAACTCCTGTCAAAATTAATTTATGTTTCTCACTTAATTAATTAATTTAAATTAATATAATTTTTTTAAAAAAAGTAAGTAATGAATTAGAGAGAAAGACAAACTCTTTTATGGACGGACTAAATAAAACAAAAATCCAACGCATTATAGATTTTTATATCGTTTTGTAATTCATGCTATGGGCTTTTTTTTTTTCATTTTCGAAATCGTCAATCTTTCTTCTAAATTTTCATCAAAAAAAATTTATATCCCACAAATATATAATTAAAATTTTCTACCTTTAAAAAAACACATTAAAAGAATATAAAGATTTTTTTTTCTACTTCTTTTTCATAGTTTAAAAAGCTGTCCTTTATCTTATATGCTAATTACTTATATTTTCCCCGTATCTAGAAACTGAACGAAAAATGATTAGCATTGGCAAAAGTCAATGAACCGACGCTCGTGCAACCATGTCTTGTGTTGCAATGAAATCTTACCAAACAAAACTTAACTAATAAACTATTTTTTCCCTTTGAATCGTGTGTGCCACCTACTTATCTCTCCCATAAGATTTTGTCTACTTTAATTCTCTCTGTGCCCCATATGTCTCAAATTCCACAACCCAATTCAACCATGGCTGCTTCCCTTACCTCTTTCCTGTTGTTTTCGTTTCTTTTGTCATATTTTGCTTTGACCTCGCAAGCAGCTTATTCACTAGAGGACTACACCTCGAAACCACTAGCATACTATGTCCCTAGCGTTGCTCCTAAGAAAGTTATGAATGTAATAGATTCCTGCTGGCGAACCAGGTCCAATTGGGCTACCAATCGCAAGGCCTTGGCTGATTGTTCGGTAGGCTTTGGCAAGGCAGCAATAGGAGGGAAATATGGAGCAATATATGTAGTTACAAACCCTTACGATGACCCCATCAACCCTGCACCCGGCACGCTTCGTTATGGTGTTATTCAAACGAGCCCTCTTTGGATCATTTTCGCCAGAGACATGGTTATCACGCTCAAAAATGAACTGATTGTGAATAGTTTCAAGACTATAGATGGCAGAGGGGCTAAAGTGGAGATTGCATACGGACCCTGCATAACAGTTCAAGGTGTTACCAATGTTATCATACATGGGATTAGCATTCATGATTGCAAGCCAGGGAAAGCTGGCATGGTCAGGAGCTCCCCTACGCATGTAGGGAAACGTGGAGGCTGTGATGGAGATGCAATCAGCATTTTTGCATCTTCCAACATTTGGGTTGATCACTGCTACCTCGCCCGTTCTGCCGATGGCCTGATTGATGTCATTCGTGCTTCGACCGCTGTCACAATCTCTAATAACTATTTCACTCAACATGATAAAGTCAGCATTATGATTTTCCCCGTGTTGATATAATTCAAATATTAGACTTCTTTTAACCAATTAATCATGTCCAATTGCAGGTGATGTTGCTTGGACACAGCGACAAATTCACTGCGGACAAAGTTATGAAAGTTACGGTAGCTTTTAACCGGTTTGGCGAGGGACTCATTGAGAGGATGCCAAGGTAAAGGAGACAGGTTTAAAAGTTGCTGTTACTTATAGCTTCTAACCATTTTCCCTGATAAAAAAATAATCTGGCTATGGCATGCAGGGTCAGGATAGGCTACGCCCATGTTGCCAACAACAGGTATGACGAATGGAAGATGTATGCCATCGGTGGCAGCGCCAATCCAACCATTTTCAGCGAAGGAAACTACTTCATAGCTCCCGATTACTCTGGTTCCAAGCAAGTTACCAAGAGAGAAGCAAGTAATTGGCAAAATTGGACGTGGCAGTCTTCAAAGGACGTCTTTAAGAACGGTGCTTATTTTGTTCCATCTGGCTATGGAAGTTGTGCTCCTAGCTACACTCGAGCTCAATCGTTCAAAGCTGCTCCAGGATACATGGTTCCTACTTTAACATCTGATGCTGGTCCTTTACGCTGTCTTGTTGGCAAAGCATGCTAAAACTTTAAACTCATTTCCCTCTTGTTGCTCCATATCCACTTTTGTTTCTTTCTTTCTCGGTGTCCATTCTACTTTTGTTTTCCAAAGTTCTAGACTCCATTATCTTCTTTGAAGCTGAGAGTTATGGCATATAAGCAATGGGGATGATGAAACTTGTGCGGCAGACACTATTTTACTCTTGTTTCCTTTTTTTTTTTTTTACTTTTGTCTTTTGTATCATTTACAGTATAAAATAGTTTATTTCAACTTAATTGTTCAGTTTGAACCAAATAAAGAAAGTTAGAGATGCTTAATTAGAAAGAAATGGCAGCAAAATCGCAGTGAATCCGCAGTTCTCTCAAATCTCTATTACTATAAAGAAAGAAAGAACAGACACAAGCCATCGAGGTTTCCCCTTAAAGTTCAAAAAGATTACTAAAATACGAAAAGAAAAAAGATGAGGTTGCCTTCACTTTTGCTCGCACTCCTTCAGAAAAGCCTATTCTCATTGCTTTGAACCCCACATGTTACAGGTGCTTTAGCTCTCACCTTCTTCAAGTACCAAATACCAGCCCCGATTCCTATGGCTCCAGCAGCTGAAACTGCACTTACAGTCCCTGCAACAGTAAGAAATCGTCAAAAAAGGCCTAATTATCCTTGTATTTTTACATACAAGTTCATCACCTAGACCATATTTATTGTATCTTTTTAATTAATTTCCATTGACCATTAGCAGAAATGTCACCTGCAATGACTCCCGCCCTTCTGTGCCCAGAAATGTTATGATCTGCAAAATGGATTACACCCAACTTATTAAGGGAATTAGGGGTGATTGACAAGAAAATGTTAAGAAAATTTCATGGCAAGGCATTCCTGTCAAGGCTACTCAGACTTGTCAAGAGAAAAAGGAGGAGTACCTGAGTAACTAACAGGGAAGAAAAGTCAAGGGTGATATGAATCTTACTTCTAATAAATCTGAGAATGTCCATATCAGCCTTAAAACATACCTTTACAATAGGAACTGACGTTTCCCGCCATACAGAGACACAAGAAATTCTGTGTTTGTGTATCAAATCCACATGTTCCGGCTCCCTTGGATGGATCCTGACACTGAAGGCAGTGCGTAGTCACCGGAACATCGAAATCAACCCGAATTCCATATTCAGGTACCTGGTTATAAGGAGTGTCAGCACTTGTACCAACAGTTCTCCAATACACACCTGTATATGAAGCACAATACTTCAGCATCAGCCTCAAGGATTCTGTTGCTTTAGGGTAGTAGGAACAGCAAGAACTACCACCCAGCGCCGAGGCACATTCAGGTAAATGCCTGCAAAGATAACTTGCACTATCACATGATGAATCACACCGGTCAGGGAACCTCTCGCAGAAGATAGGCTTTGGCTCAACAATCACATAATCCTCACTGCAGTTGAAGAAGAGGTAGTCGTTTTGAGAGGACAGTGAGAAATGTGTGCTCGTGTCAAGGTTAAAAGGCCTAGTCGGACGAAAGTTATCACCATCCTGACAATTCCACATAAATGGATCGGTGACGAGAACATGAGGATCGGAGTAACTAATGCTGCGTACGGGGTATCTGCCGGAGGGTGTTCGGAGTTCAAGCTTTCCAGTGTCGGAGCAGGCGAGCATGTGCCTGTAATAAGGGCTGCCACATCCATCATCAATCCCGAAAGGGTAGTTTATAGGGATATCACCACAAGTGGTTCTACAAAGGCGTGTTTGAGCTTCTATCTGGCTAAGAAATGGAAATAAGAATGGAATGATTAAGGAACATAACCAGAGAAATGAAGAAATTTTATGCTGTGATACAGTAGGTTTATAGATGAAGATCAGGGAACCCATTATGGTGGAAGTTATTTTAGCTTCCCTGGTAGGATTTGGCATTGTTTTAAGTTCAGCAATCTATCAGATAAAATAAAGTGCAGTCCTAATGTCAGAGAAAGAATCTGTCGAACATATGTTTGTTTCTTTTATAGTCTTTTTCTCCTTTTTTCCTTTTTCTTTTGTATTCCCTGACATATACTTTGCTTTTGTGCTTTATCGTTCATGAAGGTTTTGAGAATACCAGAGCTACACGATGATTGATGTGCATGTGAATGCCATTAAAGCAGACTGCAGGATGTTTGATTCTAACATCACTTTATTTTTGAAGGAGCCAGGATTCCAGCATTATTCTGATTACTTTCAAACTTCAACCAAAATTATATACAATCAAGACCCCGCAGTGCTTGTAGTAAGTGAACCTCCATCACTTTCATGTCCAAGGCTAAGTCCAGGGAAGAAATTGGAAAGTTCCAACATATTGGGCTAAAGCCCTCCTTCATGGATAGGACCCTGACCTACAATTGGGCCTTAGGACATTTCTTATTATCAAATAAGTCTACCTCTAACCTTAAAAGAATGGGCCCTTTTCAGTATAAGTGAATAGCCTTGGTGAAATGGTAATGGTGATGTACCCATTCTAATTCTAGTTATGGTACAATTTTTACCTTCTCCTTCTCTTTTCATTGGAAGGTAGCCTTCTTCTTTATATAACCTTTTTTGGTAAAACTCTTTGTTTTTCTATTTGAAAGAACATACATACATATAATTAATTGAACTACTCTCTTTTCTTTTTATATATATGTTCTGGTTACAAACATCTGTTAAATGAATTATGCAAATTTTTATTCTTTAAAAACATGGTCGGTCGAATTAGAAAAAAGTAACGGGAAAATAACAAAGAAAAAGGGAAAGAGAAATTAATTAATGACCAAAAGATAAATCTAGTTTTCTATATTGTACTTAAGTCTAACATTCAATAGGGAGCCTTGAAATTATTATACCATATGACAGCGGCCTTTATCCATAATGTTTAAATATTAAAATTTGAAACCTAAATCTCCAATGCCCTCACGGAATGCATGCACGCAATTGCCAGAACTTTATTACTAGTTTGAAAAAACAAAAGCCAGCATACTTCATGTGACATGATAAACTTGATAGTCTTCCCCTATGACCAGTACTTGAGAGAGAAGCCAAAAAGTAACACACCAGCTAGGCGGCTTGAATTCATGCCCATACTTGCCATTCATACCATTCAAATAGTCATCCTCTTTCTTCTTGTTAATACAAACTTAAAATCCGTGAATATACAGAGAGCTTCAACGACCGCTCATCGGTATTCAAATTTAAGATCTTTTTCAATTGAGAAAAACTATATCTAATTGATTGAATCAATCTTTTCTTTGGTGTTTAGAATACTAATTTTACTCAATAAAAATATTGTGATAAATCCCAAATCAATATTGTTATTATTCAATTCATTCAAGGCTAAATGATAAACATTTTTAAAAAATTCGTCAAAAAATTCAAAGGCAGATCATCTGCTCCAACTTCTTCACTCGGCTAGTGAATTTGAATAGCTTCAATAAAGGATCATTAAAGTGTTGATCCTGCTGGAATTCTATCAAAGGAGGGGATTCTTGTAAGAAGTGGCTTCTGGCAAAACCAAAGAGACTTATGGCATCTGTACAAGGTTTCTTTCCTTCTCTCTTAATCTTCCCTTTGCATGTGAACAAGGCCTGCAGCATAACAGGTCGAGACAACGATGCACATGATTGAATAAACCCTCGATAACATGTGCATTATACAAATTTATACATGAAGTTTCCCATTTTGTACCATATTGAATGATCACAAGTACACTCTGGAAATTCCCTCGAATGGAAACACATACAAAAGAGAAGAAGAGCATTAAACGAAGGGGGCTCCGTTCACATGGAAGCATGTGGGCGTGATAAACCCCAAAGTAAATAGCGTAAGAAAGATTATAATTGTACGGTGGATGAGGTACGGTGCGACCCACAAAGTTCCACGTTCCGTAGTTTTTCTATTTTCAAACACATGATTGATGTCAATCAATCAACCATGTTGGGATGCACGGAAAGTCAACAAACGTATCTGAGTTTGTCCAATAAAATAATTGCACCCCAACCCAACCCCCAATCCCACGAAACTACCGTCCAACATCTTCTTCATTGAACGAATTTGACCCCAATTCCCATCCCCATCTTGCTTTTGTTTTTGTTTCATTCAAAGCAAGACGTAGTTGCCTGGAAGTCTGATTCCAAAGTCCACTGTCTAAGCTCCTCAAGCTCTTCGCATCAGAACAAATGGTTTACGTGTCAAAGAGTGGTAGCCGTATTTTCTTGACCTGCTTGGGAACAGAGAATATTCCACGTAGATGAGAAATGATTCGTTTTGTTTTCTTGTGGGAATTATAACGTTGTATTATTATTCTTTTGTATGCTTCTCTTTTGTCTTCTTGTATCTTGTTGTAATGATCTTTCTTCATCGTAGTTGGAAGATAAGTAGATAACTTTGAAATTAGAATAGAACAAGATAGACTGAAAAAGGAAATTATGCTCATGTTTTTTGTGTATTTACTTTGAGAAACTCTTAATGAAATTATTCAAAAGTGAAACAATGATAAGAAAGAATGAAGCTTGTGTATGTATTCTAACCCCTCTCCCACAGCAAAGTACAAAAACTATAAACATTTGATCTCCTACTCATCCCCCAATGAAAGAACAGCGAAAAAAAAAAACTTAATAACAAGAGGTTAAAAAAGTTGTCTCAAATTAATTTTCCACGGAAAAACTGCTGAATTTTATTGTCTGCTGGTTGTGGTGGTGTTGGCATTGCTGTTGTTGTTGTTGGAAGTGTTGCTGCTACTATTTGGGTGAGCACCACCACCAATTATGGAGGTGATGGCGGCTGCGAGGGCGGCGGTGAAGCTGGGATCAGCAGTGATGGCAGCCGTGGCAGCGCTTACTGTGTCAGCCAGTGAGGGCTGTTGAGGCTGCTGCAGTTGTGGATGTGGGACTTGGTGGCCTAACTGTGAAGACCCCATGTCTTGAGACAACTGTAAGCCTGAGAACTTTGACTGATTATACAGTGCTTGACCAAAGACTTGAGGCAATTGAGAGGCTGCTACGGACGCAAAGTTCTGGGCTTGGCCTGGAAAAGGGACTTGGAATTGGGTGGGCGGTCTTTGCAATTGTAAAGGGTTTGGTGAGTGTGTAAGGTCCAATGTTACAGTTGGGAATGGAGCAGAAGCTGAAATCGTTGCCACGCTTGAGGAACATGGAAGGATTGCCCTGGCTAGCAAATTTTGGTTCATGATCCCATCTGCACTGGGCATCGACCCTGAAAGCAGCATGCTAGCGGCCGCTGCTGTTGTTGATGCCATTGCCATCGCAGCAGGAGGAAGTGGGTGGTTGTGGTTGCCCTCGTAAGTTGTTATCAAGATTGTTCTATCTTCCGCGCAGCGTTGAACCTGAGAATTACCATCATATACGAATTAGTTTCAGGCCTTGAAATCTAGATAAGTTCAAAATAAGACTCCATTAAGTAAAAAAGATTGGAACCTACTTGTTTACGGACAGGACAACCACCTGCCATAGTGCATCGGTAATAAGCTCGAGGACAGGGGTTTCCCTTTGCCATCTTTTGTCCGTATTTTCTCCATTGGCATCCATCAGTGATCTGTATCAGTTTAACCAATCAATTAGTTTCACAACAATTTGACAATAACTTCAAATCAAATCTTCACAAGTGATTAAAGCAGTTACACATACCATGGGAGCTTCCGATCGAGCTCGAACTGAAACACGAGCTTTCCTCATGGTGGCCTCAGTGGATTGATCAACTGGCTTGGCAGGATTCAACTTTTGGACTTTGTTAGGACCCCAGCCCTCAGATGCCGGGCTTTCTTCTCTACCAATTCTCTTGCCATCGCGGAAACTAGAAGTCTCCTGATCAAACTGAGAAATCTCATTTTTGCTCTTGACATAATCCTTGGATGCAATTTCAACGTTGCTTGGAGGCGACCCTGATTGTGTTCGTTCTTCTGATGAAGAATGAGACATCTCATCTGCCTCAGCTGTGCCTGATGGGCCTAGATCCATAAATTGTCTAGGCACTATCACGTCGTGTTTCTTCCCTTCAGATTTTCCTTCTCGAACCTGAATACATCAAAGAATTCAAGTCAGCCCTTTGAATTAACACTGATGTTATATATATACATAAGGAAAGATCGAATATTAATTACCTCATGTTCTTGGGTGGTTTCGGCTCCCTGATTCCTTTGCTGTTGCATTAAGGTAACAAGATGCATTTGGAGTGCACTGTAATTGTTGCCGACATGACTAAGCATGTCTCTCAACTTCTGGTTTTCAGCATTCATACGTTGTAACTCCACTTGCAATTGAGCCAGCTGAAAATAAAGTGAAACAAAAAATCATTCAGTGGGCAAGATTCTTTGGGCTGGTCGATTCAAAAAGAACCAACAAACAAAAGAAAAAGTAAAAGACTTTTAGTATCATCCTCTGACCTCATTCTTGGCTCGCTTATCTTCCATATCCGACGATACCCCATCATCAACCGTTGATTGATCACTTCCAGCGTTAGCAGTGAGAAGATGCAATCCGGTCTATGTTTTAGAACAAAAAGAAACAAATGTCAAACAATAATTCAGTCTAGCTGTAAAAGAATTCAAAGGAAATTGGTTCTTTAAATCACTTACATTTATATCCAAATCAGAGCCTGGAGCGGCTTCACCATGAGAAGTCTCCTTCTTGACGCTGACAGTACTGGCCTTGTCATCCCCACCAACAACAACCTTGGTTTTCTTATCAGAGAAAAAATCAACCTCATCAACCACCCGTCGTTTCTCATGACCAGAAGGCGAGGAGGACGAGGAGGTGCCCTGAAGGTCCTCCCTGGAGCCAGCAAGGCTAACGGGGAACTGAAACATGTCTCGCTGTTGCTTCAACCTGAAGAAAGGTCCTCCGGAATCGGTCTTGTTGGGGAAGAATTTAGTTCCAGGATCAGAATCAAGGGTAAGCCCCCATCCTTTGTCCATAAATAAA